TTTTTTTTTTATTTCATTAATATGACTATTTTATTTGAAATGAATTGTGTTTATGAGTAACTATTTACAAAATGAATTTATAATATTTAATTATTGACATATCTTTCCAATTTGAGCAGATCTTGCATATGGCTGTATCTTAATTTTTGTGATTGCTTTTGGTTTACCATTTGTCTCTTTAAGAATTTTGGAACAAAAGGTTGGGCAGGTTCTTTGTAAGGGCCCACTACACCTTCAAATGAAGTACCTTTCTTATAAATGTCTGAACCTCTCGATAACATTTCTGATTGTTCATGAGACAAACTTAATTCTTCAAAAGTTTCCTTTGTCCAAAATTCATTTTCTTGCGGAGTTGGTTCTTCTGGCCAAATGAATGGTTCTGACATCTCGATGGTCATTTTTTTAATTTGTGGTCCTCTTATCCTTGGACGCGATGGATCTTGTCTAGTATATCTACCATTCAACAACTGAGTGGTTATATTCATTGCTCTTAAACCATAAACATGGAACAAATAATCTCTTAAATCTAATTTGTTAAATGATTTTGGGACGATAAATTTTGCTTGATAAGGAGTATGTTTTGCATTTGGTCTTAATAAAATAAGTCTTGCCTTTGGGAAAAACAATTGTTTTTCACCAACTCTAAAATGGGCACTTCCATCTTCCACACCATTTCTTGCTAACTTTAGAATTTTTGAACTAATTCTACCACCACTGCCAGCACTTCTAACAATTTCATTACTACTTTCACTAATAGTGGCAAGAGATCTAGTACTTATATTTGGCAGTAAATTGTGCCATAGCTTGTTGAAACCCATGTTCTTTGGATAAAATTGACTAAACTTCACGCTGTAAAGATCTGTAATCTGCTGAAAAAACACCAACAAAAATACCTAGGTTGAATCCCACAAAAGGCTCTTTTAATATATAAACCTTCGTTATCAATTAACCAATGAATCTGATATATTACAGAAACGCAAATTGCTTGTACATACAAGTTTGAAGACAATATCTTCGTAACTATAGCTCTTGTATTAGGTTGGATTGATTTTAACTTATTCCTTTTAACTTTTCATATTTTCTATAATTTTTCATTATAGAAAAGTATAGTACTCTAATAGTATGTAGATAGTATGGGATAATTTCAGAAACGTACACAATGACACTCATTTCATTCTTTTTGTAGAAAGACAGGCCGTGTAACATGATAGGGAATATATCCAACCGTGTACTATGATCACAACTTACAAATCATCATACACGTATCAATCGTGTAACACGATTGATTCTTTAAAATTTTTTCTTCCTTCGTTTTTGTGGCTTGTTTTCGTTTTTGTAAATTTTTGTGGTCGTCTAGTTTTTTTTTTTTTTTTTTCGCCAAAAAAATTGTGCAAACAGAAATTTGCCTGAACTGAAAGTTTAAAAAAAGATGTTTTCAAGAACAAATAAATATATATATATATTATATTTAAGATAAGTAAATAGCTAATTTTAACGGTGGCAACCTTATTGTTAGAGATACAATTAGAGTAAGATCTATACTTAAAGGCGGCAGGTCAACTAATAATAATATTAGTGTTATTGTTGTTTTAGGGTGTTAGAAACGGACATTCCAGGACTCGGTTGGTTGGACTAGTTAGTACAAGTGCAGTTACATTATTAAACTTTTGTTTGCTTATTAATTTTTTCTTTTGGTGAAAAACCACAATAACAATAATAGCACAATAGAAACTAACTACTAGGAAAGGTATACTTCTTTCTTTGCTTTTGGTCTTCTTTGTTAATAATAGCATTAGATTTATACACGCTTTTTTTTTTATTATTATCTTTCCTCTTCTCATTTGTTACTGAAACGACATAGATATAACAAGACGAAGTTTACAAGCATATTGATTGAAATTGAAATAAAGTTGAAGTCAACTAATATAACATAGATATTTCTTTCACATCCCGTTGCATCCTTATTTTGTCTTTTGTCATAATTTATTATTTTGGATTAGATAGATACAAAAGGAACGTATTAGAAAGTAGAAAAGGATACTTTAAATTAATAATATACTCATTACATTAATAAAATTTCCAAGACTTTTCAATATTAAAATAACTAAAAAACAATAACAAATAGACTCATATACACAGTTAGAGAAACTAGATCAACAGAAAAGTATTAAACATCCAAAATGTCAACAGAAGATTATTATGGTGACGAAGATCCTTATGGTTTCGAAGAAGAAACTGCCCCAATCACAGCAGAAGATTCATGGGCTGTTATCTCTTCCTTTTTCCGTGAAAAAGGTTTAGTATCCCAACAATTGGACTCATTTAATCAATTCGTCGACTATACTTTACAAGATATCATCTCTGAAGATTCAACTTTAATTCTAGAACAATTGGCACAACATACTACCGAATCTGATAATATAAGTAGAAAATACGAAATTAGTTTTGGTAAAATCTACGTAACAAAACCAATGGTTAATGAATCAGATGGTGTTACCCACGCTTTGTATCCACAAGAATCTCGTCTACGTAATTTAACTTATTCTTCAGGTTTATTCGTTGACGTGAATAAAAGAACTTATGAAGCTGTAGATGTGCCAGGTAGAGATTTGAATTATCAATTGATAGCAGAAGAGAGTGAAGAAGATAATGAAAACGATAAAGTCTTTATTGGTCGTTTACCGATCATGTTAAGATCCAAGAATTGTTATTTAAGCGATGCAACCGAATCAGATTTGTATAAATTAAAAGAATGTCCATTTGATATGGGTGGTTATTTCATTATTAATGGTTCCGAAAAAGTTTTGATTGCTCAAGAACGTTCTGCTGGTAACATCGTTCAAGTCTTTAAGAAAGCTGCTCCTTCTCCAATATCTCACGTTGCAGAAATTAGATCCGCCCTAGAGAAAGGTTCAAGATTTATCAGTACATTACAAGTTAAATTATATGGTAGAGAGGGTTCTTCTACTCGTACCATCAAAGCTACTTTACCTTATATTAAACAAGATATTCCTATTGTAATTATCTTTAGAGCTTTAGGTATCATTCCAGATGGTGAAATCTTAGAACATATTTGTTACGATGTTAACGATTGGCAAATGTTAGAAATGTTGAAACCATGTGTTGAAGATGGTTTCGTCATTCAAGATCGTGAAACTGCTTTAGATTTTATTGGTCGTCGTGGTACTGCCTTAGGTATTAAAAAAGAAAAGAGAATTCAATATGCAAGAGATATTTTACAAAAGGAATTTTTACCTCATATTACACAACTAGAAGGTTTTGAAAGTAGAAAAGCTTTCTTCTTGGGTTATATGATTAATAGATTATTGTTGTGTGCTTTAGATCGTAAGGACCAAGATGATCGTGATCATTTCGGTAAGAAGAGACTAGATTTAGCCGGTCCTTTATTGGGTCAATTGTTCAAGACATTATTCAGAAAATTAACTAAGGATATCTTCCGTTACATGCAAAGAACTGTCGAAGAAGCCAATGATTTCAATATGAAATTGGCTATCAATGCCAAGACCATCACATCAGGTTTGAAGTATGCTTTAGCTACAGGTAACTGGGGTGAACAGAAAAAAGCCATGTCTTCAAGAGCAGGTGTTTCACAAGTTTTAAATCGTTATACATATTCATCTACATTATCACATTTAAGAAGAACTAATACACCAATTGGTCGTGATGGTAAGTTGGCTAAGCCACGTCAATTACACAATACCCATTGGGGTTTGGTGTGTCCTGCAGAAACACCAGAAGGTCAAGCGTGTGGTTTAGTTAAAAACTTGTCATTAATGTCATGTATTTCTGTTGGTACTGATCCAATGCCTATCATCACTTTCTTGAGTGAATGGGGTATGGAACCTTTAGAGGATTATGTTCCTCATCAATCTCCAGATGCCACAAGAGTTTTTGTGAATGGTGTCTGGCATGGTGTGCACAGAAATCCTGCTAGATTAATGGAAACTCTAAGAACTTTGAGAAGAAAGGGTGATATTAACCCAGAAGTTTCTATGATTAGAGATATTCGTGAGAAAGAGTTGAAGATCTTTACAGATGCGGGTAGAGTTTACAGACCTTTGTTTATTGTAGAGAATGATGAACAATTAGGTCATAAAGAATTAAAGGTAAGGAAGGGTCACATTGCTAGATTGATGGCTACTGAATACCAAGATATCGAAGGTGGTTTCGAGGACTCAGAGGAATATACCTGGTCCTCTTTATTAAATGAAGGTTTAGTGGAATATATAGATGCGGAAGAAGAAGAGACTATTTTAATTGCTATGCAACCAGAAGATTTAGACCCAGTACAGGAAGAGGAAGAAATGGAAGTAGATGAGAATGTAGATACAGCCAAACGTATTAGGTCCGTACATCATGCAACTACTTTCACCCATTGTGAAATTCATCCATCGATGATTTTAGGTGTTGCTGCATCTATTATTCCATTCCCAGATCATAATCAATCTCCTCGTAATACTTATCAATCTGCGATGGGTAAGCAAGCTATGGGTGTTTTCTTAACTAATTATAATGTTCGTATGGATACCATGGCTAATATCTTATATTATCCACAAAAACCATTAGGTACTACCCGTGCGATGGAATACTTGAAATTCAGAGAACTTCCTGCAGGTCAAAATGCCATTGTTGCCATCGCCTGTTATTCCGGTTATAACCAAGAAGATTCTATGATTATGAATCAATCTTCGATTGATCGTGGTTTATTCAGATCCCTATTTTTCAGATCTTATATGGATCAGGAAAAGAAATACGGTATGTCCATTACTGAAACATTTGAAAAACCACAACGTACAAATACTTTGAGAATGAAGCACGGTTCGTACGATAAGTTGGATGATGATGGTTTAATTGCACCAGGTGTTAGAGTTTCTGGTGAAGACATCATTATTGGTAAAACAACACCAATTTCACCTGACGAGGAAGAATTAGGTCAAAGAACTGCATATCATTCTAAGCGTGATGCCTCTACTCCATTAAGAAGTACAGAAAATGGTATTGTTGATCAAGTTTTAATTACCACCAATCAAGATGGTTTGAAGTTTGTTAAAGTTCGTGTTAGAACTACAAAGGTTCCTCAAATTGGTGACAAGTTTGCTTCTCGTCATGGTCAGAAAGGTACCATTGGTATTACATATGGTCGTGAAGATATGCCATTTACTGCAGAAGGTATTGTTCCTGATTTGATTATTAACCCACATGCTATTCCATCTCGTATGACTGTGGCGCATTTGATTGAATGTTTGTTGAGTAAGGTTGCAGCATTATCTGGTAATGAAGGTGATGCTTCTCCATTTACTGATATTACTGTTGAAGGTATCTCCAAATTATTACGTGAGCATGGTTACCAGTCTCGTGGTTTCGAAGTTATGTACAATGGTCATACCGGTAAGAAATTGATGGCACAAATTTTCTTTGGTCCAACTTATTATCAACGTTTGAGACATATGGTAGACGATAAGATTCACGCCAGAGCTCGTGGTCCAATGCAAGTGTTAACAAGACAACCAGTTGAAGGTAGATCAAGAGATGGTGGTTTAAGATTCGGTGAAATGGAAAGAGACTGTATGATCGCACATGGTGCTGCTTCTTTCTTGAAGGAAAGATTAATGGAAGCTTCAGATGCTTTCAGAGTGCATATATGTGGTATCTGTGGGTTAATGACAGTCATTGCTAAACTAAACCATAATCAATTTGAATGTAAGGGTTGTGATAACAAGATAGATATTTACCAAATCCACATCCCATACGCTGCTAAATTGTTATTCCAAGAATTAATGGCCATGAATATTACACCTCGTCTGTATGCTGATCGTTCGAGAGACTTTTAAGTGCATAGTATAATAATATCATTTCTGATGAAAGCAAACATCACAAATTAAAAGAAACAAATTTAAAAATTATACAAAAAAATAAAAAGAATTATGAATTTTCCAATTACGAAAAAACGAAATATTTTTTCATGAAGAACAATTAATGTTAGATTTAAATTTAAAATTACGATTTTTGTTTTTAACTTAATGATTCACCTTTCATGTTATATTAAATTAATTTTCACATCATTATTAATGTCGATTTTATAATAAAGTTATACGAATAGTGTGCAATTATTTTGAAGGATACTAGGGATTAACTAATGGGAATATAAACAAGTATCTATTAATCATAATTACACATTCAAATTCTATACCCCTTGTAATATAGTTTAATAAAATTAATCTTAAAATTTAAAATACAATAAATACAATAATTTCATCATTTAATATTACGTTTAATCTATTTTCGTATTTATTATTGTAGCGGTTCCAATTGCCATCCTCTATAATGTAGATTAATTATCATTGCCAATACAACAAAAAGAAGGATTTGATCTATTCTTATATGAGATTAATCAAATGTCGATAGAACCCCAATTGTCAAAGACCATTCAACATGAGGGAAACCTTTAAACGCCAATATTATCTTGTATCAATATCATTAATGACGAACGATTATATTTCAATAAAATTGAGAAACTTAAACCTTTTCCATCAATAAATAATATAACAAATTGACAACATAGAGATATAAAACATCAATTGATAGAGGGTTTAGAAATAGTAAGATACTATCGATTGGAGGGGTTCCTGGTTGTATCAATTGGTGTTAAGACTTTGCCTGTATAAAGACTAATTTTCAAAAGTGGGGACGATGTTTTTCATTAAGGACCTTTCGCTGAATATCACTTTACATCCATCATTCTTTGGACCTCGTATGAAACAGTACTTAAAGACTAAGTTACTGCAAGAGGTAGAAGGTTCATGTACTGGTAAATTTGGTTATATATTATGTGTTTTGGATTATGATAAAATTGAAATTGAGCGTGGTAGAATTTTACCAACAGATGGTTCTGCAGAATTCACAGTAAAATACAGAGCAATTGTGTTTAAGCCATTCAAAGGTGAAGTAGTAGATGGTACTGTGGTATCATGTTCCCAACATGGTTTTGAAGTTCAAGTAGGACCTATGAAAGTTTTTGTTACTAAGCATTTGATGCCACAAGACCTTATATTCAATGCAGGTTCGAATCCTCCATCATATCAAAGTTCAGAAGATGTTATAACTATCAAAAGTAGAATCCGTGTTAAGATAGAAGGTTGTATTAGTCAAGTTAGTTCTATCCATGCGATTGGTAGTATTAAGGAAGATTACTTGGGTGCTATCTAAGTTGTAACTGAAGCATTTCCGAACTAAATTCAACTATTTGTATTTTTAAATGGAATTATTAATTAAGAAAAGATTATTTTTTTTTTTGAGTTTAATTTATCTTCGGGCTTTAAATAAAATAAAATCCGGAAAAATATTTTAAACACTTTTCTTATTTTGAAACCAATACTTCCAGGCTTTGCTTTTTTAAAAAAAACGGCAAAGAATGGGACCTTATTATGGCAAAAAATATATAGAGTTTATTAACAATTCC